GCAGTGGCCTACTCAAAGATATATGCTGATCAGGAGCACACTGTTGGCTTAGTTAAGATGTTTAATAAATGTACATTTGGATAGCGCCGGTATCCATCTAACAAGATGCTCATTGCGCTTGATGTGTGAACTAGTACAGCAGCTCTTTCAATGACTTTCTTCACTCCTAAGGTTCCCTTCGCATCTGTGCTACTCGATAATCCGGTACCACCAAAGAGTATAAATAGGACAAGAGAGCAAAGTCCCGTTTGTAAAAACGTCATGCCTGTGTAGGAAGCCCACTAACGGTTGTATATTCTTTTTATTACCCAGTGCAGCGCTGCGCAGCGCGGTAGAAGTACGCCCGCTATAAACTCAGTAAGCAGAAAACAAAAGTACAGTATCTTGTGGAGAACAGATAAACAGACAAACCTACCGTGCGCGGTGGAGTACTGGGCAATAAAACAAAACACATACAAGCGTTAGTTGGCGTCCTACACTAGCTGCGTAGAGCGTATCGTTTTTTTACGCTCTCAATGAGCGTTTTTGGCTCTCTTGTTCTATTTATACTCTTTGGTACCACCAACTCTTTTCGAATTTGCCTTCGCCTATTTGTCCTAGGCACTTGTGACGCCATGGATTGATACACGGGAAAGTCCATTGTGTCCTATGTCAGCAAAATTAGAATTTAAGTGTATTCAAGAACACTTTACAACATCATTTATAAATACTGTATATATATTTACAGTAATGGCCAAGTAAATGAATAATAACAATTGGCATATTATAACAAAACTTAATAATAATGATTGTTGAATAATAATAATAAATATATTATTTTTTGTACAAAAAATGTGTTATCACCATGCAATTTAAAATTACGGGTGAATATATAAAACCAATGAACTGAAATTTATCTATGATCTCAACTTGAGGGTTTACTGTATATTTATACAACAGACGTTTATCAGGCTCAATTTCCTTTATTTTTGCTACTGTAACATTTAGTACCAACTGTCATTACACCAATTGATGTCATCAACCTGTACTAATGATTAGTACCAGTTCAAAAGTACACTAAACACCAACAAAATTATGTCATTGAGAAAAGTTGATGACATCAACTGGGGTATTGACAATTGGTACTGAATGTTACAGTAGCCCAATTAAAGGAAGTTGTTTAGGATGTACAAGCCTGTCAAAAAAATACCTCCCATGTTGAGATCGTAGATCGTAGACAATTTGGAAACTGCATGGTCATACAACACCTTTCTTTTACGTACAAATCTGAAATTCAAAGCCTACCTTAGCAGCAATATCCGGGGATGGGGCAAGGTATCTTACAGGAAAGATTTATTTTGTTCTAACCATTATTACGCTCTAGTGAGGACCTATTCTTTACTTTAAATTTGAAATATTAAAATTTTGCTATTGGCACAAAATAATGAAATGACATGAAGTTTCCTTAACATATGCGTATCTGATTTGTGGAGGTAAGAAAGAGCGGATCCAGACACGTCCGAAAGGGAGGGGGTGGGGGTGGATTGGTAGGGGAAATCACTACCCGTAGGGGTCCAAAATTTTTGTTTTCTATTTGCCAAAAAATAACCTCTGAGGAGTTTTGGATGATGAATTATTTCTTCGTTCTTTCTTTCTTTTTTCTGTTTTTTTTTTTTAACTTTCCAAAAGGAGGAAGGGGGAGGGGGGCGGCCAGCCCTGCCCCCTCGAAATCTGTCCCTGTAAAGCATGTAAGGAGGTAAAACGTGTTAAATATATTATCGACATTCAATGTGATACCATATAAAACAATTTAGTTTTTTTAGTACAAATATTCTCAAAATTGACTACGAAACCATTTCAGGGCATATGCCATTATAAGAACAAAATGGAGTAGCTTATTATGGAATCAGTGGCGTATCTATGGGGGTACGCCCCACCAAAAATTACTCGCGCCCCCAAAAAATCATGGTCAAGTTGTTAAAAAGCATCTAAAATCACCTTATATTGCGAGTTAGCGGCCCCCACCCCCCACAAATCAGCACCACTACTTCAAGACTCCAAAATACGTCACTGTATAGAATCACTGTCTAGAGGGTAGTATTTATTCATTCAGCCTGAAGATACCTTTAATAGGATTGCCAAGTTCCTTGTGACAACCAATTGTAACATCTCTATCTTCTTATCTGCTTGCATCGAAAATTGGATATACCCTGAATGAAATACACGGAAAATAAGCAACATGACACCGAAGTGTTTAGAAATGGTGATTAGTACTTGACCACCATCTTAATTTGAGGGTGGAAGTTCAATCCTTCATTGTGTATTTCGCTTGTGTCCTTAGGAAAGGCACTTTACCTACAGTTGTATGTATGTAAGCGGGTATGTGTTCAAACACAAAAGTGTACTGATTACAGCCGCAACAATATGGAATTCTCAGTCAGTCAATTTATTCACTTGTTCACTTAACTACTACACTAGTTGGCCTACAAACAAGTGTCGGGAACCAAGGAGGCCTGTAATTAGGCTCCCGGACTAATCTTAATTGTTTAGATTAAACTTAAGTAATAATAATAATAATAAAGAAAAAAAAACAACGCACAGAACAAACAAGCCAAGTTGGGAAGAACTGGACAAATTAAACAGATTAATGGAAAAGGAGTGCTTTGGCCATGTTGTCATGAAACATATCTATCATAACATACTTAGTTATCATTATTATTATTATCATTATCATTATTATTATTTTTATCATAACATACTTAATTATCATTATCATCATTATCATTATTATTGTGATTATTATTATTTACACACAGCAGTATTTTTCAGTAATTTTTTCTCCCCAGGGACCCGAGTAAGTGTTCCATATGCGCTTGATCTGATAAGCGGGGGAATTAATGTTAAGCGTATACAGGCCTCTACCATATGCGCTCCAAGAGTATTATTATTATTAATTTCCAATCCGAAGTATACAACATAAATGGTATGTTCATAATGC